GAGCCTTTTTTCAGTTGACAGAATGACTAACTCCAATTTCAACATTTTTAATTATTAATTTTAGCGATATTTCTAGTGGGAAAATTGATACCTGTATTCACGTTTGTATATTTCAACACTGTAATCACCTACTCTGGAATCAAATTAATGTCTGTTCAGATATTAAAAAATTTCGAACTAGGAATATCACTAAAAAGACTTTACCCAAAAAAGTCATTCTGTCCACTTAAATGCTCATATATAAGAACAGTCTTATGGGTGCTACTAGTGTTTTATATTTAATGTATGATTTGTACCTATAAGAAATCTTCCAGATATTACAAATTACTGCTGTACACTTTTCTTGGTTTTTTGATTTTGGGAATTTTATAAAAAAATGATCAAGTCCTATTTTTTTTTTCTTTTCACTTTCGGTTTTCTTCACACTCCTGACATTTCCTCATCCGAGATCCGAGACCTGGGGGATCCTAATGAGCTCCTAACCCGGGATCCGTTTAGCGGATGGAAGCTATATGTTAGTGGCGCAAAGGACACATGTTCATCAGTGAGCACACGTGGTCCAGAGCACGTGTATTCGCTCATTTTCCACCTCCGCCAATCAGTGCTCTCCACTGTCTCTTCCAGTCTTGATCTGTCTTTCTCCAGTGACTGTTTGTATAGATATCTTGTGGATTATCTTAAATTATGGGGTAAGTTTGAGAGTTATTTTTACCAATTTTCCTTCAATTTGACACGTTTTTTTTTCATCGTTATCGCCGTTAGTTTTTATTTATTTATTTTTTATTGAGTTTATCTCTTTTATTTACTCCAACCAAGAAACGTAAGGTAAATTATTCTGCATATTATTAATCAGCCGATACCGGCATATAAATTTTGACAGAATGAGAAGGACTATATTTATTCCATGAGTCTAATATAAAAATAAAAATACATCTTCCTAGACCGGATTCGATTCTGCGCCGTTCTCACTCAAAACAGCTTTTCCCGATATGCACAACTTCCGATCCGTTTTATCTGATTAATATTGACTACTGTTAAATAGGATTATTATGATTTGTAATTTATACATAATTTCTATTAAATAGTGTCTATAGAAGAACACCTAAATATATTACATAAAAATGATTTTCAAAATATATATTGTTTTTTTAAATCTTTAATAAAGGATTTGAATGAGTCCTAGTTTCGATCTTCATTGCCGATTTAAAACTTATATGGCAAATTCGTTTTCATATTTTAACTTCATAAATTCATAATATATAATAAAAAAGTAATAATTCAATAACTAATTAATAAATAAATAATAATGAAATCTAACGTAATAGATATACAATATTATCATATGTTAATAAAATGAGCAAATGTGCTCAATAATATTAATGTATTTATTCTTGGTGTATTAGACATGTTAACATGATGTTATTGTGGGTTAAAAATTTTATAAATGGCTTCTTCATGACAATTTAACTCTATACATAAAAATTTAAAAAAAATATATTTGAGTTAAATTAAATTCAAATTCAAAATCAAAGCAATATATGTTGTGACATGATGCATAAGGTATACTCGTATATTTTTTCATGATTAAATAAGATGGTTATATATGAGTTTATTTTATTTTTTAAATACTGATCCTTTTACACGATGATATTGAGAATTAAGATTCGTACATTTGAATTTTTAATCAATTTGATAGCCTCCTTTGTTTCTTGAATACAAACCTAAAATATTTTTCAATTAAAATAAAATATTTTTGTAATTAACGATCATTTATAAATAAATCTTTATGTATTTATATCCATTTTTTTTTAATGAATATGTAAATTACTGAATTTTAAAATAAATCATAATATAATTAATTTCAGTGTAAAATAGAGTTTATTTTATACATGAACTTCATATTGACATTTTGTATTTATAATGGAACATTAAGATATTTTCTATTTGTATAGAGGTGACTTTTATTTTCTTTTTTCTTAACAATAGTGATATAAATAAGAAACATTATTTCTTTAAAAAAATCAAAATATATTTACACTTTTGTACTCTATCGGATACGACGATATATCCCTAATCAGAACTCATATCAATTTTAAATGAGACGGTTCATTGAATGTTTATTCAGCATAGGGGGCCGCCACTAATATGAATGAGGCATCATTGGAAATGGTAATGGTGATACAACATTGAGTTATGAATGGGCAAAACTTACTAATTACTCATTTACTATCCGGCGTGGGGCGGCATTAAAACACGGGGCCGCATATCTAAAGACACGCGTGACGGCTCAATCGGAATGATTGAGCGTGAATTACACGAGGGCGGGAATGTATCAAATCCGACCAACTGCCGCCCAGCTGTCTCAGCTCCATTGTGCAAACAAGGCTTTGCTTGTTCACGAGGCACCTTTGACATTGTAGTAGTCTCTCGGTGGTTCTCTTCGGGTACAGGAAGGTAGAGGTTCCGAAATGTCCTCTGGTTTGGAAACGTATCAAGAAGGTACATTTTCTCCTTATCTATATCAGTATTATCTTATCTGTTGTCAGAATATTCAAGGAATCTTGTGAGGCCCAATTATTTTGTTGGAATTCTGTCGTTATTTGTGTTCATGAAATAGTCAGTATGTAAGAATGAATGAATGTCTTATAATAGCTAATCTTTTTTTTTCTTTTAATCTTTATCGAGAAATATTACATTCGTCACATCCAAAGATAACAGTAGTATAGATAGAGTAGCTTATTTACAATAAACAGCAAAATAATAATAATAAAAGTAAATATATATTTAAACAAAATTAATATAAATTAAACAAAAAGAAACTAAACTAATCAATGTTTGCTGATAATGAGTTATTCCTGTCAAATTGTATATTGACTCTTATCAGTTTTTTTACAATAGTCAACGTAATAATATCACTGGTGAAGGAGAAGAAAGTACTCAATTAAAATCATATAGTTGTAATTATTTCTTTTCAACTATCGATTTTAAGTAGTAATGAAAGTATGTCTCTCAAAGTATTTTTTGTGTTCGTGGGCATACAATATTATTTGTCGGTGATATTTAATGAAAAAAAAAAAAATGGTGAAATGTAATGGAATGTAATGGAATATTTTAGTACAAATAAAACAGTATTTGACTGTAATTTTTTTTTTTTTTTATTCATTTACTTAGAATTATAACAATCTGTCACATGGACAATAGTTTATAGTGATACATGACCACATTCACACCATATATACAGAAAATATAAAATTAACAAAAGTAAAATAATAATCAAAAACTATGTACAATAAAAAAATAAAATAACCTAAAGATAAGTAAATTAAAAAACACAGCCATACCTATATACAATATATACAATTAGGCAGGGAACCCCAAGCCAGGCTTCTTCCCCAACTATAGAAGGAAAAGCAGGACTCTAAGAGATCTCCGCGTCACTGTTGCTAAAGCCAGTGGAGTTTGAGCGAAAGCGCAATAGCCACATACACTCATGTCTTGAGTGGAGAATCTGGCCATTGCCAGAACTCCAATATTTACAAACTATAAAAGATCGCGGGGCCACTGCCGTTTTAACCTCCTTGGAGGATTATATGGATGGGTGGTGCTGGATAGAGATTTTGCAAAGGGATTTGGATGATGGGTAAGGTTCTGGGGGAATTTGGAGAATTTTGCTGGGATATTAAGGTCATGGTGTAGGGTTTTGTTGGTTACATAGAACGGAGCATCGACTATTGTTTGGAGGACTGAAAGGATTGGATTCGTTTGATGTAAGAAAATTATGCTGTCCCCCAAAGTTCAAGTCCGAAGGTCCAAATAGATTTCAGGATTGTCTTATAGATCAGTAATTTGTTGTCAATTGAAAGTTGAGATTTTCTGGTCAGAAGTCTGTATAATTGGCCGTATTGTCGGTTAAGTTCTTGTCTTTTAACATTGGTATGTGGGTTCCACGTCAGTCTTCGGTTTAAGATAAAGACAATTGTAATAAATGTCAATTTTTTAAAATTCACTCTTTCATCCTAGTTTGTAAACCTAGTTTTCCTTGCCACTTCCTGCTTTCTTGATAAAGGTTTAGCAAACGTCGAATATCATTCAGGCAATTTTCAAACTCATGGCAGATGGTATATATCCCTAGTTTTTTTAATAATGCTTTTTGTATGAATCTTTACAGTTTCATATGATTCATGTGATTTCGTGATTGTATTCCTCTAAAAACCAGACAGCTCCTTGTAACCGCCATTGTATTCCCCCACTTCGAATACGGCTGTTTGGTGTATGGAGGGCTATCTGCTAGGCTGGAAATGAGACTAAAGGGACTCATGAATTGTTTCATAAGATACATTTTCGGGATCCCCAGGCGTTCACATGTTTCACTGTGGTACACCGAGTTGAAGTGACTTCCCGACTATAATTTTTCCTTTTCCAAGTCTTCAGAAAAAAAAACCTCCCTACATCCAAGAACTCCTTACTCTACGCTCCTCTATCCACTCTCTCAATACTAGATCTCTTCCTCCTTCAGCAAATCCCTCTTAATTCGTGCTGCTTCCTTATGGAACTCACTTCCTACCCCCAGGCGACAATCCTCGTCCACAAATTCCTTCAAACAACTCCTGTTCTAATACCTACTCCGCATTCAAACTTCCCCTAACATGTAAAATTACTTGCATCTATACAATGTTTAATTTCAATCTATTGCACAATTGAAATAACAATTAACAGTAAATTAGTTTGTATTTGGATTATGTCAGGCTAAGACCCATAAATTTGTAACTCTTTTATTATTCTTAGGGGACAGTAGTCCCAGAATAAAATTATTTTTTCATTTCATAGTAACTTGAACCGAGTTTTATGTAAATTAATTTGGAAAATGTCTATCTGTTATGTTGTTATCATATTTTTATTGTAGTTATAATAAGATTTGTTTTTGTTTGCAGGGGCAGAGTTGAGCTGAGAGGAGGCGCGGAGGTGACATGCAGAACTGAGCACAGCGAGGCAGCACCGTCATGAGCTCGTACTTCGCCAATTCTTACATGCCTGACCTGAGGAACGGAGGAGTGGTGCCGGCGGAGCACCCGCACCAGCAACACCACTACGGCTCCGTGGGGGGCGAGGACCCCAGCTGCGACCCCCGGCAAGGCATCCCCCCTCACCACTACGGCGGGCCCCCGGTCGCAGGGCAGCCGCCCCAGGGCGTGCCCTACCCGCGCTTCCCGCCCTACGATAGGATGGACATCCGGAACGCGGGCTACTACCAGGGCATGGACTACAGGGCGGACAGCCCGGGGGCGATGGGGCACATGCCCCAGAACGGCCACCAGACGCCGGTGGTGTACACCTCTTGCAAGCTGCAGGCGGCCGTCGGCAACGGGATCGGTGGGCCTGAGAGTCCGCCGGAGATGGACATCAACCATCACCACCACCAGAGCCACCACATGCACGGCCATCCTGCGCAGGCTCAGCCCCAACAACATACAATGATGTACAACAACGGGGCTCCGCAACCTCCGCACCATCAGGCACAGCAAGTGGTGCAACAACCGCCACCCGCCCAACCACCTCAACCCAACAACAACAACAACAACGCCAACCTGCCCAGCCCCCTCTACCCCTGGATGAGGAGTCAGTTCGGTGAGTATCTTTAAGGTTCTTCTTATCTTTCAAGGTCTTCTTTGGACCAAAAGACTGAAGGACAGAATGACTGGATCTATTTCATGTAAGATCTTTTTTGCATATGATTTCCAACAAGAGATACCATGTAATTGAATCCCTATATTCATACGGAAACTTTGTTTTTTAACTGCGAAGAATTTTTATTCTTCATCCAGAAGATTTATTCACACTTCCAATATTTATGGATCCCTCTTCGCATTCCAAAAATGAATAAATAAACGAATCTGAGATTATAATGAGTAAATCAAGCAATCGTACCATTCCAATGTCATTTCAATGCAAGAAGACACCGACGCCATAATCTTTTTATACGACTTAGAGGATTATTGGAAATCAATCGGAAAGCAAGGATAGAAACTCATGGATATTTGGAGGTGTCGAATATATAGTAGACAAATACATACATTTGTTTTCAGTCTAAATTAGATTGTAAGGGTAAGAAGGAAATTTGAGGATTTAGTGAAAACATGTAGTTCCAATCTGGTATGTTCAAATTAGTATGATTACAGCCAGTCATTATAATAAATTTTGGTCTGATTAAAATAGAAATTTACATATGAAATAGATCTTGCAATCTGTTCTTCAATCTGTGTATAAAATTGAAAATCTATATATAATGTATCTGGCAGATCTATCCATCCATATATCAAGTCAAAGCATCATAAAATATTTGACCGCCTGAAACTTCGAGCATAGCTTCATCTACTCGTAACCTACAAATATTTTATTTACGAAAAAAAACTCGTAAATACTCATTTGCTTTCCACTTAGATCGTAAGATAATTTGATCACAAAATCGATTAGAAAGGTGGCTTACAAAAATATTGTGCCGTTTGGCCAATTCAACCTCGTTATTTTGACAATTTAGTGGTGTAGGTTACGGCAAACACTCAATATTTTTAAAAGGTCACCTCTTTTCTCGACTTCAATAAGTAAACAGATGTTTTCCAAATTTCATTCAGCAAATGCAAGTATTGGAAAAGTTTTTTAAAATTCATAGATTTAAAAAAAAAAACCAATTACCAGCTATTAATTGTTTAGACATTACATTGATTAACCTACCAGTGTTGTTATTATTTAATCTGGAAGTGATATTAATAACCAAAAACGAGATTTATTTGTTTTAGTTAACATATATTATTAATATAAAAAATACATATTATAAGGAAGTACCGTTAGGAGCAATTCACTAGAAAACTGTTTTATTGGAGCTTAATTGCTTTTGATCAGAGCAACAAGTTAGGCCGGATGTAATTATCCCAAGAGCAACACGGTTGCAAAAGATTAATTACGATTGGATAATAAGCGACCAATAGGAACTGCTGATCGGGTAGGCTCCGAATGTGTTAGCCAATTAATGAAGTTCCACCAGGCTGTCTAATGAAAGATTTAGCACTACGAAAACATTAAACCTGCTACACCTCTGGAGTCATTTCTGGGTGCAAAATTTCATCGAAAGGTTTTTTTTACCCAAAATATCGCCAAAAAAAAAATCCTGATTCACTATCAAATAATATAAAAGTCAAGTCAACAGTTGTATGGAAATATTAAATAAAAATGGTAAATTTATTTTATTTATAAATGTTTTGGGCTCTTCAACCACCTGGGTCATTTTCGCCCAATATTACCATTGGATCAACTATTGCATAGGCATACGTAACAAAGCTACAGCTAACAAATGCAATTTAAATTTGAGAAAATTAAAAATACTTACAGTTGAATATGATGAATAAAAGTTTAATTAAAGTTATTAATTGAAAGTTAAAGATTAAAAGCAGATGAGTTAACAAAGACAATTAAAATAAAAGTTAATGACGTTAAGGACATAAGCTAAAAATATGTTTTTAAAAAATAAAAATTAATATTGAAAGAAGAGAAGTTATAGAGTACAGTTTAAATATTAAAAATTACAAGAAAAAAAGTAGACAAAAACCATTAAAATTAAATATTAAAGATTACAAAAAATTAAGTTAACAAAGACAATTAAAATGAAGGTTAATGATTTTAAATATAAAAGTAAAAAATACGTATTTTAAAAAATGAAATTAATATTGAAAGAAGAGAAGTTAAAGAGGTAAGTAATAAAAAAAATGTATATAAATAAAAAAAAAATAAAAATGGTAAATAATAATTTAAATATGTAGATACATCTAACCAAAGTAACTTCAAGAGTCAAGGCAAATCTGAAGCCATTTTCAATATCTCATGTAAAAAATAAAGAAAATAAAAATAAATATATACGGTTTTACATTACTGCAAAAAAACCTGTCATGAATGTAGTTATACGAATATTAGTTGTATTTACAAATATAGTAAAATAAAACTTAGTGTAACTTCGTTTTCCTGGATTTATCTAACATTTACTAGACATGAGAAACTTTATTTTTTAATAATGAATTGGCCATTTGTCCAATATAACCTCGTTATTTTGAATATTCGGGGGTGTAGGTCACGCCAAACGGCTCAATTTTTTTTCTCGATTTATGTGATCGAATTATCTTACGATCCAAGTAGAAAGCAAATGGGTATTTACGAGTTTTTAGTACCTAATTAAATAGACAAAGTTTGTCTCTCACCAGATTGAAAACGCTCCAATTCCAAGAGTTTTCGTAAATAAAATAGTTGTATGTTACGATGAGATGAAACTATTTACAAAGTTTCAGGCAGATGTTAATAATTCAAGAAAAAGGGATCTGTACCACGGACTATACTGCAAAAGTTTTATTTATTTTGTTTTTATGACCTGAAATGTATTTCAATAAACATAACTTCCTAAATTTACTTTATATAAAAAAAAGTTAAAAATTATCATTTTTTGTAATTCACTCAACATTGTACACATGATTAACATAATATACATTTATCATGAATTTAGAGAAATAATCATAATTATATCAAATCATCATAGGCATATTAAATTGAAATAAAATTTTCATTTTATTTTTATAAATTTGATACTTTTCATAATTTTTATTTTCTTGACTGGTTCCTTTCAGAAGAAAATGTGAAGCACTTTAATTACAATAATTATTATACAATAGTACTTTAATTTTTTTTTAATGCTTTGAGTTCCGTGTTCAGAGCCTGGAATATCACTATTGGAAAGCAGGAATCCTTTTCGACTCCTTTGTCTTTTGACTCCGCACCCCCTACCGAGCAATTTAGAACATTTTACCTGAAAGCGGAAAAAGTTAGGTAACCTTGCCCAACCTGCAGTGATGGCTATTGTGAGCGAAGGTAACACAGATTTATGAGCTTGTCCAGGAAGCGTGTACAAGACAATGTCCTTCTTCGAACTCTTCAAAAGTCGAAAATCGTTCACCTGGGGATGGCTTTGGTCTGATTTCTGAAGGCTATTTTAGTCCACGTCGAGCCGTTTACTGTCTGACCAAAATCTTCTTTGAATATCTATTGTTAGATAAAGTATCCTATTGTTATACAATTCAATTATTCAATTGACAACGATTTATGTAGGCATAAATTTAATAATAATTAAAGCTATTTAGGGTAAGCGCACCAGTAATGGGCATTGTTAAATATTAGTATTTTTTTTACTTATGATACCGTAATTATTATAGTTATATAATTCTTCGTTGGACATTTAGAATCTCTAAGGGTCTCCTTTTTCTATTTAATACATGCAATTTAAAAAAAAAATATTGCGTTATGCAGGTATAATCTCCATTTAAAAAAACAACACTTTTTTGCACTAATGATGGAAACCCGGATATTCAATAATTCTAGTGATGGACAGGAAGTCGGTACCAGTAATAGACATACCTCAGAAAAATTCTAAAATCTTTATTTAACTATAAATATGACGAAAAAGATAACATAACATAAATGTTCAACTTTACTCTTAGCAAAATTGTTAGTAGGAAGGTATGAAACACACTGATCTCAAGAGCATTATAGAAACAACAATGATAGGAATTTTAAAATATTCTTTTGGAAATTTTGTTGTCAATAGAGGGCATTGTTTCTCAATCTAGAAACAAATGGAACCTTTAAATCAACAAGGAAGCTTATTATTTACATTTAAAGTCCAACCTGCCCATCATTACATAATATTAATCATTAAATGGCCAATCATATTTAATTCTAATAGTCAATGAAAACAACTAACAATCTGTAAAAAATGCCAATTATTAAAATTTAGAACTAAATTAAACTGATTGAGGCGTTAAAAAAAAATACACTTTTTAAAAATAAATACTTTTTAAATCGCTCTTATGGAGGAACAAAAAAATACCAATAAAATATTTATAAGTGTTCGAAGAAGTCGAATACCAGATCTTATGAAAAGCTTCAGAATATGAAAAGGTTAAAAATGAAACATAACAAAAAAAAATGCATATATCTATATTAAATAGTCAATATCTCAAGGTCTTATTAAAATCATTTACGGGTATATTCTAAAGGTACTTAAGAAAACTATACATATATCTAAGTAAAAACGTACTCTAGAATGTTTGTTCATCCAATAATCGTTAAAATCATGATATTTAATAATTGAATATGACTTACAAAACTTGAAAGTGGCCGTGATATTAATATTTTAGTAATGAAAATATAAATAGTAAAAGCAAATTTATTCTGAGAAGAAGCTCCCTAACGATAACAATAATGTACAGAAATATAAAGATTAATTCATACATAATAAAAACTGAAATAATTTTATTTTTAGTCACTTTTTCATTATAATAATAATTATTTTAGTACTAGCATATCTTTTAATTTTTTTATAATTATTTGCTTACTATTTAAAGTTTTATTTTTTCATCCACCAAGTTTCTGCAATTAAGGCCATTTTATTGGTAGAAAAAAAAACATTTTAAAATTAAAAATATTCGTCTGTATTTAATTTTTGTATTATATGATAAACCTATAGAAAAAAATATGGGTATATTAGCGCAAAAGCTTTTAATTTAAAAAAAAAAAAATTTTTTTCTTTTGGA